GTTAAACATACTCTTTGTCCACCCTTAGTTAACTCTTTCTTCAACTTAACACGCTCCTCACAAAACAACTTGAATATATCCCTACTAACAGTCATTCTACCAGGGACATCAAACTTAGGTTGCAAGCTTTGAAGAAGCTCTCTAAACCYTTCACCGTCAACAACACTAAAAGGTTGTTYATCTTTCACTACMAACCTAGCCAAGGCATTGCGACATTTTTCTTTATTAAAAGTCACGGCCAACAAATTTCCCACACCATCACCACCGCCTTGAAAACTAAGTACTTTTTGTTTTTTATCGGTTTCCCTACCCGGATATTTCTTGCATTGTTTTGTTATGTGTGTCCACAAACTTGTTGTGCCAATTTTCTTACTGTCACATGCATAATTTTTTCCACAATAGTTGCAAACACACCTAAGATCATTTGGATTTCCACCCTCTACTTTTGTAAAATGAGCCCAAACATTAGATACTCTACCACCTGACCTTTTTTTATCGATGTTTGGTTCTTCCTTGATCTCTTTATCAATACATATTGGGGTTGGGATAGCATTAGCATCCATTGAATTTGAAACTGTAAGGATTAAGAAGACTGTGAGGTACATTAAATAAACTGTAAAGCTATGTACATTAAATAAACTATGTAAATATGATACAAAAGGGCAAAGGCTGTGTAAAAAGAGGAGGTCCAAAATATAATACAAAGGCTGTGTAAAAAGAAGAGGTCCAAAATATAATACAAAGGCTGTGTAAAACGAAGGAAGGCTGTGTTGTGTTACCTTAATCGACTTGCTGTAAATCGACTCTCGCTTGCTGTAAATCGACTCTCGATGGCTCAAGGATGTAAATCGAAGGATGGTCCAATCGATCTGCTGTAAATCGACTCTCGACTCTCGATGGCCTCTCGCAGTCTCGACTCTCGCTTGCTGTCAATCGATCTGCTGTCCTCTCGCAGTCTCAACTCTCGCTTGCTCTGTCAATCGATCCGCTGGCCTCTCGTAGTATCGACTCTCGCTTGCTGTCAATTAGGGAATAGGGAGCTGAGTTTTGTTGATTTGAGTTTAGGAAGGAGCAGACCAGAGCATCTAGGGTAAACAAGAGGTTCCCCCCATTCCCGTGTGTTTTTGCTTCCAAGTTCCAATCGGTCATCGGGTTGGGTCGGTTTTAGTTGGGCCTAAACCGATTTCAACCCAATAGAGTCGGGTTACTTAATTTTTTTATCAATCAACCTTCGGGTTAGCTCGGGTTAGTTTTTTTTTTTTAAATCGGGTTGGGTTGATCGGGTTGATCGGGTTTTTGAGCACCCCTACCTTGCACCACCGGCCATCGCCACCTCTCTCGGCCTAGCTCATCGTCGTCGCCACCTTCCTCAACCCAATCTTAATCTCAATCTCGTTGTTTGGTTCGATTTCAGGCCATTGTACCATCGCACTCGTTGTTTGGTTCGATTTCAGGCCATCGCACCAGCTGTTTGGTTTGATTTCAAGCCATCGCATCATCGCACCCGCTGTTTGGTTCATTCAGGCCTTCATACCAGTCTCTATCCCGCTGTTTGGTTTGATTTCATGTTCAATTCATAATTCTTTTGCCGTCAAATTGCTGAGATCCTCAACAACGATCGATTTTAACCCTAGTCCTTCTACTATACTACACTTCCCATTGCATCCATTGATTTTGCTGAACAATCGGTCATCCACAACGATTGAATGGGTTTTGGCATTTCTCCTCTGTTTTGTAATTTTGATTCAACCTCAAGGACTAGCTTGTGATTAAACTTCAAATGGGTTTTGGGATTTTTTGGATTTCTCCTCTGATTTTAATTAGGGAAGGGGAGTAGAGCGAAGCTTAATCTCGATGGTCACTTATGGACTATGGTTTCTTCCCTTCAATCTCGATCTCGATGGTCACATGTGGTTTCTTCTCTAGATAAAAGTTTTCTAGGTTGATCACGATCTTGAACTTGGGTTGATGTCGCCGAAGAAGAACGTAGCTCAATCTCGATATTGACAGTGGAGAAGAATAAAAGGGTTGGGAGAAGACCGAGATGGTCACCGGATGGAAGGGACGAGTTTCTCTCTGTGGGTGGGAAGAGTTCAAACGAGAACAACCTTTTACCATAAACAATCACATGTGACACTATTATTCCAATACATATGATACATATGTGATACTAAATCAGGGACGTGGACGACTTTTGACACGATCTAGGTTGTAGGCCAAGTCACCCTTACACCACTAAGCCCCCCACATGTTCTATCACATGTGATAAATGTGTTATTAATGTGATACTATAATCCATCAAGACCATCATATGCGATACTAAATCATAGACGCAGACGACATTTGGTGCAACCTAAGTTGCAAGGCACGACATCCATACACCACCAAGTCCCCTCAAGTGTATTATCACATATGATAAAAATGTTCTCGCGTTTCGTAAAATGAAGGTGCTCTCGTTTAAACCTCCACCTATATATAGGGTATATTTCAAATGCAACCATGTCCATTTGTACAAACAATGCAACCCAATCAATTGAGATATTTATTGAAGTGATGAGAGTTCATTTATTATTATTTGAATATTTATAGAAGATGACCAAAGTTCATTAATTATAATCAATACTTTATATTAGAAAAAAAATAAAATTTTTATGAAATCACATATTTATCTAATTAAATGCACGGTTGAAATTGAGTTGTATTAGTTGTACAAATGTAAAAGGTTGTATAATAATTCAACTCTCTCTCTCTTTATATATATATATATAGTTTATATTTTTACCTGCTAAAGAGGTTATTTTACATGTTTTAGGAAGTTCAAGGAGTTATTTGTTTAAAAAATTATCTAAAAACTTAATCATTCTAAACAGTAAAGTTTATTGGGGTTTTTTTGAAAATTTTCTAAATTGTTTTTATTCCATTGATTTTAAAGATAAATGTGTTAAAAAAAACCCAAATATTTTCTTCTCAATTCACCCGATACAATCGGGACAGGGCTATTATTGTAAAACAGTTGTTCGGACTTCAGTTACGTTACATATACCCGCCGCCCATCACCGCCGCACCACATTTTCCGATATGGCCACCACGGCCGCCGCCGATGACGACAGCGACCGTCCTCCTCTCCGTCGAGACTCAGTTCCAGTCGTTGATCTCCGTCTCCTCTCCCAGTCAGAGCTCTACTCCCTCTCTCTAAGTTCCGACTCCTCCTTCGATCTCAACCGTGGCGATGACGTCGTTATCCCCAAAATTAACCGCTCCGTTTTCAACGAATCCGCCGGTAGCCGTAAACAGACCTACTCCCGTCTCCGTCTTGCATCGGCTGAGTCCTCCGCAACAACCAAAACCACCACCCTCCACCGCCGCACACCTCACCTCCGTTCGTCCCATACAACCTCTTCTAACAACATTAATGACCCCGAACAAGCGGAAAACTCTCAGATCATCCGTATGTTGAAACATCTCTGCAAGTCGGATCCAAATTTCCAGGATGTAGTTGAGAATGAAGACGAAAACGACAGCAATTCCGTTGTGCCTGAATTCTTGAACCCGGAAAACCTAGGCATAAAGCGAAAACGAGGGAGGCCGCGGAAGCATGAGAATGTGGTTTTCCTTCGTCCTCCCACCGCGAAGAGAATTCGTAATAATACGGTTAAGAAAGTGGTTGTATTTGATCACGAGAGGGATAGAGAAATTGTAAATGATAGAGGTGTGCCGGTAAATTTGACAACACTTGCCGGATTAGAGGATCCCTACGGGCCCGAAATTAGGAGGAGGACTGTGGGAATGTCGACGGAAGATGAGTTGTTAGGGTTTCTGAGAGGTTTGAATGGACAGTGGGGGAGTAGGAGGAAGAAGAGAAGGGTTGTGGATGCAATTGAATTTGGTGATGTTTTGCCTAAAGGCTGGAGGCTGAGTCTCTGTATAAAGAAGAAAGAAGGCCGTGTTTGGTTATTCTGTCGCCGTTACATAAGGTTTCCATTCTGCCTCTCCTTTTAGGCTATATGCTACACACATTTCACTGAAAGAAATGACATTGGTTTTGGAGGGTGATGATCTTGTGTATAACGAAAATCAATCAATAGTGGCAATCATTTCATTGGGGTTATGAACATCTATCTTGTCATTTCAGAAAGAATTCATTAGGTTAGTGAACCAATTATAGGAGATCAAATTTACTGCCTGCTTTGCATTATAATTTCTTCTAGTTGAGCAGGTGCCAAGAACTGAGAACCATGCCCAGGGGTGGGGGTTAACCTTTTTAAAAGTTAAGGAAGATGATAAGATTTAAAATTTGACGGGGTATATCATATTGTGAACACAAAGAGCATGCAGAGGAGTGTGGTATTTGCATATGATAGCATGTCATTCCATGAGGATAGATAATCCTAACAAGAGAGTAGATATGACGTTTGGTGCCGAGTCCTGATTTGACTAGTTAGGATATGAATCGAGTGAATTTTAATAGAACGATCCAAGTAAAGCTTGTGATGTTTGATTTCTCTCTGTATTTAACCATTAAGAAGTGTTGGTAATATCATGGTACTGGGTGTGCATTTTTAAACTCTAGTTTTTTCTATGTAGAGATCTTATATGTAAAAGATCAGACCTTCGAACCTCAATTGGTCCTTCCAATATCATGAGTTGATTTATAAAACTTAGGTTCTCTTTATATGGAAAATACATAAGATCATCGGTTCTTTTTATGAGGCAGTTTCACTCATATCTGAACGTAGTTATACCTCCTAATTTCACCACCCTTGGTAGTATTGACCCCTACACACACACTGACCGGATGCAAACCCCTTTGAAAATGGACATGCAAACAAATATCCATTAAAATGGTCCTGAAACACGAAATTTAAGTTTTTCATGTGCTGAAGGTTCGGAATTACAAAGCGTGCTTGCCCAAATTAGTGTGTTGAGAAATCACAGCCAATTCATACCCAAATCAGATTTCAAGAATTTTCAAGTATCTGGTTGAGCTGATTCTGTGATCAAGGTTTTTGACTAACTATCCAATTTGACTATTGCATCTTTTGGTATTTTACTATTTAGTTATAAGAAGATGAAAGATGCTGATCTGTTTTATGGGTAGAAAAGAAGATGAAAAACCTTGAATTGGAAGACGTTGATCCAACTACATATGCATGTTTCTAGGGAATTCTTTGAAAATATTTTTTTCAACTCCACCAGCTATAGGAACCCTGGAACGCTTTGATTTTATTACTCACAATTGAGATTCCAGTTGGAACATAGCTAACTTCTATATCAAGTTCTCAATCTGTATGCTGCTTTAACTCATTGCATTGTAGCACATAAGTCCTAATCCAGTTGGGAATGTAGCCACAGTGACTTAATAGGTTTAATTTTTTATGGTTTAGAAGATAATTGCTAAGGAGTACATTGGTATGTTTTATAGAGAGGAAGATATAATATCTGTATGTACCTAGCTTGGGAGCATTAAGCTTTTGAGTCATGCCATTAAGCTAAGAACATGTTATTGAGTTTATGTTAATAGAGTGGAGACAGGTGTTGCAGAAAATGAGATTATTCATTCTATGGAGATCAATCATGAACGGTATTTTGTCAAATAAGAGAATTGGTGGAGAAGTCTATGGGAAAAAGGGTATAGGATCTTTGTACAAATTTTCCATTATTAGGTATTTGAGTTCTTGACAAGACAGATATAATGGAAAATACCTTGGCACAATTAAAATATGTTTGATGGGTCAGTGACTCGCATGGACTATATGATAAGACAGCTGTTCATCTTTCTGCCTTAGTTATGTTCTCATTGGAGAAACTGCAGTTTCCATTTGAAGACAATTTCATGTTAATTTGTGAGAGTTGGAAAAATGTCAATGTTGAGCGTGATGCTTTTAATAGGGTCACTGCATGAGTTTTAAGATCTCGTTGTGGGTGTACTATTCATCGACTATTTGGAGAAGAGAGTACAAGGAGTGCAATTGAATGATATAAGGCACAAGTCTTAAAAGAGTCTATGCATCGACCTTATAAAATGTTGGTAAAACCATGGATTTGCTGTCGTTAATAAAGTATAGCTTAGATGTAAAAATTAGAATCTGGATCTCTCATAGTACTTCCATTATTAGTAGTTTGATTCACAAAGGTATAGGTTTCTATGTTGCAGTTGAGATGAAAAAAGGTTGACCATTGCACTTGGGACATAAGAGCACCATTTCCTTTTAGAAGTCTTTTGAGCTTTTACTCCAAACCAGTCCTATATTTGCATGTTCATCCTCTTATGCCAAGTGGTAGTGCTGTACTATGCATACCTAGCTCATCCTTAGTGGTGCATTTTCATCAATCAAAATTATTTCAACTTTAAGCATTTCACTTTATCTTGTATGCAACCCTTCGTGAGTTCATCACTAGCTGATATTCATTGCATTGTAATTATAATTAATCCATGTCAAGATGGAGATTTGCCCATCCAGTAATCTAGTTATCAACCACTCTATGCTAGAACAGTGATCATCTTGGTGTGACTTCTATTGCAGTTTGAATAATATTTATCAGATGTTCTTGTTGCTACAATTTATCATCTGAACACAAAATTTAGGTAGTATCCTGTCATACTGATATCAACATTGTGAATATAATAGTTCCTGGTTCTTACACGATGTACTTACTTTGATGATAACCAGTCCTAGTGGTCAACAATTCGAGTCATGCAAGGAAATATCTACATACTTGATCTCTGTTATTGGACAAGAAAACTTGGATAAGCCAAATCACATTGACATTAACAGTTGTGATGACAATGCTTTCAAAGGAGCTTCTGTGAATGTAAGTTGGTATTTACAACAAGTATTTTGCTCACTTCTTTTAATTTTTTTCGATTACTTCCCTTTTCCTTGTCAGTTTATTTGTTATTTATTACAGGCTGCTGATCTTGTTCTACAAGAGGACATCAAAAGGGATGGCCCAATTAATAATCCATCATCATCATCATCATGCCCAGTCAACAATCCATCATCATCGCCACCAGCACCACCTTTGCCTACAAACTGTGAGGAGCAAGTCACCATGGATATTGAGGATGCAATGGATGTACAAATAGGAGACGTTTTCAAGTGCCTCAAATGCTCATTGATTTTTGAGGGGAAGGACAATTTATTGGACCACCAGGTGCTAGCTCATGACACCGAGAGATCTCAACTTGGTACAGCAGTTACTGAGTGGGTTATTGTAGAAGGTGGAATATTTGAGTGCCAGATCTGCCATAAAACATTTAGTGATAGGAACCAGTATAACGGCCATATAGGGTGCCATGTGAAAAATGAAGTAGAGAAAACTGAACCATCACTAGCTCCAGCCTCAGAATTGGATTGTGATCCTCGATTGATGACTGGACTTCCTAACAAGGAAGCGCTAGCATCGGTTTCGGCTGGAGACAATATTGAACCTGCTTCTCATCTTAATTACGAAACAAATTCTGGTAAACTATCCAATGCCGATGAGCTTGTTCATGACCTTAACATTGTGTCTCATAGTATACAGGACGGACATATTGATGTAGATAGGAATATTTATATTGAAGAATCCCGTGATAAGTTGGGCAACAACTGTACCATAAATGATGAAGTCTCTAGGACGGACCAAGTTCCTGATATTGCTGTTTCTCAGTCTGGACTTTTAGTTGATGAAGTCCCCCTATCCGTTAATGAAAGCAACAGACAACCTGAAACTTCTGGCGAAGCTCATGTTAAATGTATCGACGATAAGTTGGATTGCGATCTTGATCAGGGTATAAGTTCTGGAAGCTTTCTGCTATCTCCATTCCCAAATAAACTGACGGGCAACGGTAGTGGTGCTGGGGAAAGTGACATTAGTGGACAGGTGCTCAATCAAGATGCAGTTTCTGAAACTGGAGTTACATATGTTGATTCTGTTCATGACAAATCAGATTGCATCCTTGAGCAGGGAAGTTCTGGGAACTGTCTCCTTCCTTCATCATCAAATGAACCGATGGGCAATGGTCATGGTGTTGGTAAAGATATTGTTGGTATGGCTGCTAGTGTTGGAGTCCTCAATCATACAGTTTCTGAAACTTCGCGTCCTAAATCAAGCATCTGTGAAGAAAAGGGTTTTGGTGCAAACATGGATATGCCTATCAATAGTACATCTGACGAGTTGATATCTGAAAAGGAGAAAGTTGTTGGTGGGTCTTCATTTGGGCTTTTTCTTGATCGTTTTGGGCTGGATAAGGATGGTGCGACCGTAGCCAAGAAGCTTTCTACAAAGGCAACCCGTTCCCTCATTTCACCAAGTATTGATTCAGTTAAAGCTGTCAATAGTGAAAGCCTAATATCTTCCAGAAAACAAAAGTCTGCGCAGAAGGGAGGTCTCGTTAGCAGCAGAGATGCTCCACCCGTTGATAATCTTGCTCATGGCACCTATAATAATGTAAATAAACTCTCATCTGGCTTAGCAAGTTCCAGACTTGATGGACAATTTGATGTTAGGAGGAATGCTTTTGTCAGCTATGGTGCATCAGGTATAGAAGGCGTGAGTACTTTTGGAGACGAAAATGAATTTAGAAGTCATCCATCTCTCACATCATGGCAGGAGGAAGAGTGCGAAAATAAAAATCTTGATGGTGATGTCTCCTTTCCTACAATGGAGGAACCCAGGATGCAAATAAATTCTGAAAGAAGGTCGTTTCTATCTGGTGGTGAGCAAAGCTGCTGTACTGAAAATGTAACGGAAGTTCCTTCAAATAAATCAGAGGAAGCCAAATTAGACGACTTCCATATCTTTAGGAACAATGAGGCAAAACGTAATGAATCAGTTGCTTCTTTAGGCAGCAGCCATGATGGGTTGAATAGGGATGTTTTGGATTTTAATACAAAAAGCAACCTTGAATTCTGTTCACTTGTTCCATCTGAAAATGAGCAAGCGTTTAGCTTCCAAGACGATGTAACTTGTCTGTATGACAGGGCAATGGAGGAATGCAAACAGGAGAGCTCAGAAAGGGGATTGCTTAATCATTTTTCCATTGCTGATACATCCGATGATATTTTTGAGAATAAGATCTATTCTACACCACTAGATGGGCTCAAATTCGATGATGACAGAGATATTAGCAGCAATGAGTTAAGTCTTGCTTTTGGGAACCCTCATGCTCTATATCCCGATGCTATTAGGGTGGAGCAGAAAAAAGATCTTGTAAGTTGCTCTGTAGTTCCATCCAAGATTGATGAAGCTTTTGATGTCCATACTAGTTTGAGTATGGTTAACAATAGTATGGTAGAGAATCTCAAAGCGGGAAGAGGTTCAGTGGGCGGATTATTTAATCTCTCTTGTAACGACAAAACTAGTAGTTTTCCTAATGGTGGTAATACAGTTTACCCTGGCAGAGCATGGGAGGGGATGAAATCCGATGAATTTAAAAATTCTGGAAACAAGTTCACCACCGGTTTTGGAAGCAATCATGGTCAAACTCATGAAGTTGTGCCTAGTGGTATGTGGAAAACTACTGGTGATGGAAATCAACTGCAAAGTGGTTTATCCACCCCTTCACATCCACAGATCCAGTCTCCTAGCTCTTTCCATTCCTTCAATATAATGTCAGAGAAGGTATAAGTTTCGGCCTATCTGAAACATACTGTGCATTTTGAGGGTGTGTTTGGTACGCAGACAGGACCGGATCGGACCGGATGGGTGAGAGTGAGATAGGTGGTAGAAAGATTGTGCAAGGTTTTGGGGGTTTTAATTTGAGGTGCATAGTTTAGTTATTTACCATTCTATATCCTTATTTTTTTGTTCCGCCCACTTTTGTCCCACTTACTGTCCTGTCCTGGTCTTAATGTCACACCGAACATGGACAAGAAATTTTTGTTGCCCCATATACCAAACGCACCCATGATGACCCTTATGAGGAGGCCGCCCCATTTGAGTCTCGTATTTGTAATATGAACTTTTGTTATAAGAACTTGTTTGACTATTATTTTTTATTGACAGGTTGGAGATGGACAGTTTAGACTTGATGAAAGGTATAATGAAGGTTTTGGTGTGAGTGGGATGAGATCAAGTAGACCTGAACCTGTGGAATTCAGTTTTCTAACCGGTAGATCTCAACATAATCCACACCCGCTTCAAGGGGATTCAAGGGTCTTCTCGTACAATGCGGGTATGGAACAGCAGTTTGATTCTTCTTTTTGGCTTGGAAAGAACGGTATGATGCCAAGTACGGGTGGAAGAAATCAGATTACCAGCGTATGTGCTTGGTGTAGAAATGAATTCCATCTCCAACCGGTTCATCCTGGAACACAAGATGGAATTGGTTCTTTGTGCCCGTCTTGCAGTGCAGGAATGTCAGGGCATGTCAACATGTTGTAGAACAATCTCTGCTTTCAGTCGAGCAGTATTTCCTCGAGAACATAAGGTAACTTTCTAGACAATTTTTTTAAAATTATTATTATTATTTCTCAAAGATATTACTGCGGTGGCTAAGCTTTAAATGATGCCCCATTCTTCTCAAAATAAGTGTCTACTTTGTCCTAAAATAAGTGTCCACTTTCAAAAGCAAATGCCTATTTTCCAATTCTACCTTTAATTATAAAACGGGGAAGTTTATTACTTCTTCTACTATTAAGGCTAAGGGGTTGTTTGCTTGGTTTTCATCAAGTCCTGTATGGATAAAGTTGGTTGTATGTGAACTAGTTGGTCTGTATAATTGGAATTGTTTTTGTTTGGGAGGGCTTTTTCAGAGATGGAAGGAGTGTTTTTTGATTGGGAGGGGCATGTTTGAAAAATCTTGGCTATCTGCATAAAGCTCCCCCCCCCCCCCTTACTGAATAA